GTTACAACTAATCATGGATCCCTTTAACAACTCTGAGTTCAGTACCTTTGTTTGGTTGTGGATCCATAATCATCTAACATCTGAGTGCTGGCCATCTCCAGATTCCAGCCACACATCTCCAGGAGCTTTAAACACTCAGAGCGACTCCTCAAACCCAAACAGAACAACTGCTCCACCTGCAGAGAGACAAAAAACAACTGGTCCCTGAACAAAACATGGACTCTTCTTCTTTTCTAACAGGAACAGAGGGCTAGAAGAGCTCAGCTCCCTGTTCTTGTGTTACTTCAATGAAACCTGAGCTCTCTGCTCAGCTTTGTTTCTCTCATGGCTCTCACTGCCACCATGAAGGAAACCTGAAGTGCTCCCTGGTCCAAACACACCTCTCATCCTGCAGCGGCCAATTTAAACAAAGACGGTTGGGACGGGCTTTAAAATGAGGGATTCATTTGGTGTGGCAGCAATGTCTGAATTTTTTCCTTAAGTGTCCACAAAGCTCTGCTGGAAATGAAACTATAAAGTACAAACTATCAGATTTCACTACAGTACACACAGGTGATTTAGATGAGGGGCAGTCTGAAAAGACAGAGACCCCATTAATCCTCCCTGAGGGCCCCCACAACAAGGACAATAACAGTAACTGTAAAAACTCAAGACTGTTCTGGTTCCAGTAGACCAGAGTCCACATCACTTTTATAACCAGTCTGATGGCAAACAAGATCTTTGGGGTTATTTTCAGAACTATTTGATGAAGAATAAAAACAAATGACAGCCAATCAAAACACAGAGAATCATGTTAGCTCCTCTGAAGAGCTGAAAGGAGGAGGTTGTTCTACATGGATTTATTTTTAGAAAAAAAAAAAATCCTGAACAAGTTGGGGAGCTCTTCAAACAACTTTAGTTAAATTCTGACAGGATTGATGAGTTAATGGCTAGTCTAATCGAGACACTCGGAAATTCTGATCTCAGTAAATACCTACAGTAACTAAAGAAAATCTATGATTTATTTTAAATATTTGAGCTAAATTGAGGGAAAATATAAACTACTTTTCCAACTGATTAAAGATTTGCTTGTCAATTTATTAACATTTTGTTTGCTTTTTTAAACCTTTACAGGATTCTCTGCAATATACAAACAAAAATTGAATGATCATCACAATACAGTGTATCAATGTGTGGTGTTGTGAATATGAAACAATCAATGAGCAACATAAAAATATGAAAATCATTTTCAGTCACTACAATGAAAGACATCTTCCATTGTGACAATAAAAGTACTCACCTTCAGAAAATTCACAGCTTTCTGGACATTCCAGTTGTGGTTCTGGAGGGCAGCTTGACACTCCTCTATTGTCACACCATGAACAACTTCCTGCACCTAAAAATCGCACAACATGATCAGACTTATTAAATCATCTGCATAAACCTGAAGACATCATAAAACCAACAACAATCAACTACTTACACCTTAAAAACTCCCAAGAATCAAACTGATCAAAAGCAGAAACTGAGCTTTATTATTTAAAAATCTTGTTTTCTGTTTTGTTCGCTGCACAGAGGCACTGCTCAMGGATGTCCTCCGAGTCCCCTGCTTTCTCATTGAACCCCTCGCTACTGCATTACGCAACAACAGCAAAATCTCTGGTATCTGGAGAAACAACGTAGAATATAAGTTCTCGCTTTATGTGGATGGTCTCTTACTTTTTAATTCCAAAGCAGCAACCTGTTTGATTTTGGTGACATAATTTATTGCCATGCTTGTAAGGGAAGTCTTCAAAAATTGGATTCAATCTACCATTCTGCCATTCGATTTGTTACAAATTCTCCGTATAAAACTCACCACTGTCTGTTATACTCTCAAATGAATTGGCTTTCCTTGCAGTCTTGCCGTAATGCCCATTGGCTCTTCTTTATTTATAAAACCCTGCTAGGTCTTTCACCTCCCTATTTAAATCAGTGACTACAACAAGAACCCCACTCAAGGTACAATACTCGGTCCTCCCACCTTATTAGATTGAAAATCCCAAAAACCAAGTCCTCCTTTGGCCTCGTCTTTCCGCTTTGCTGCAAAATACACTGCATATTGGCACTTTGATTTCTATTCCTGCTTTTAAACACAGACTAAAGGATCTTTTAAAGGAGTCACGTAACTGAGCTACTGCCCACTCTTGTTCTCCTCCTTCGACTCCATCTCAAACCCTGTGGTAAAGCATTGAGAATCTGGGGCCAGTTTAGGAACTGGGATTCTGAGAATAAACACCCCTCCTTCTGCTGAACAATACGAGGGCAGTGGCTCATACATAGCAGGGGNCTAATCTAAAAATTTGTTCCACTAGCCCTAAAACACTAACTCAAATATTTAGGTCACCTAACTCTAAAGCACTAATACACTGAAAGTTTTAGTAAAACCTGATTCTAAAGCACTAAAATAACCCAGTCAACCCATGAACGTTCTTCAACAGACAGCATGAGTCACATGTTGTCAAGTTGCTCTCTTAAGCCTTATTATTGACATTTCACAGCTGTATTTGGGTTCATATACATGGTGTATCAGAAAAATGATACTCTAAGAAAAATCACCATAAAATTAACAGATAATAATTTTGAAAATGTGGGTGTAACCTTTGTTAGAGGGGATCATTCTGCTTCGAATGACACCAAAATCCTAGTTAACGCTTCACGCTCCAGTGAGCAGGGACAGCTGGAAATTCACAAAATTCATGTCCTTTACACAAGGAAATGTGAGGGTTAAAATACAATCTGTCACATCAAATTAAAAGTTTAGATGGTGTTTTACACATGTGCCAAGGTGTTTTTAAAATAATTAACCCTTTCATGTGCTAATGTTGAAACAAAAATATCTCATTTTTGAGTGGATAATAACCAAACACATGAGAAGTGGCCGTGGACAAGTCAATCCAGCCAACTAACATTACATGTAATGTACTGTACATGTACATGTATTCAGTGGGTATTACATGTAATTGTTCTATAACCTGGTACAAGATCATGTTGATTGTGTGGTCATTTTCTTTCATTAAAACAACATGATTACAAACATCACCTTATCTTATGCAGACAATTAAAACAATTGTTCCGAGCCGTCTCAATGTCTTCCGCAACATTAACGAGTACCGTGCTTCTGGGACCAGTCACAATCTCAACAAATTTAGCAAGTGCTAATCCACTAATAAATTTTAAAATTAGCAAAAGTCCTAAAGCGCTAATCAGGAAATTAGTTCCCCTATTTGTGCTTTAGTGGAACTGTGCCCACCACTGGTGTTAAATATACATTTAAAATACACAACCAGAAACCCACACAGTCACAAACATCACAATATCCAGTTACAATTTTCTCTCAACTACAGAGATCTGAACATTCCATCATCACAGAAATGCAGCACGACGAATGAAAAACCCAATACTTTCACAATGCCGATTCTACAAAAACATTTCCAGACATCACTAAGCTGAATCATTCTGAAATATTTGAAAGTGTAACGTTTTGTTTAAAGTTTGAATGGCCTTTCTAGGCACAAGTATGCTGGAGTAGATGAAGTTCAAAAAGCAGTAAGAAGCTGAATGATTTCATGGAATTCATATGTATTCCAACGGCAGAAAAATACAAATAAAATAATTAAAAGGCTGAATATCTCAAAAAGTTTAAAAGATATCAATACCAGGAGACATAGCCGTAATCTCCTGAAGGAGCTGAACGTTTTGATATATGAATTGTTAAAATAGTGGAAGGAGATAAAAAAAGCATACAAGAGAAACTAAAAGTTAGTAAAGAATACAGAGAAACGTGATCAGTATTAGAGATGGGTACCTTTGACATTTGAATTGATTCAGTACCAATATCCGATACCTGGGAATCGGTACCGGTACTTAACGGTAAGTATCGAATTCTGTACCCATCCCTAATCAGTGTGTAGGGGTGTAAATCACCAGCTTTATCACGATATATTACATCGATTTGTTTAGATGATGATTCAATATTTCTCTATCACAAAGTCAGTCACAATACGATTTGGATTCAATTCACGTCTGAACAGAAAACCTTTCTAATTAACTAATACATGCTAATGACTTGTTAACAAATGTCACCAGAAAGTTTCCAATGGAGAAAAGGTTTATTTTGGGGGTCAAAATTTCATTGTCTGTGAAGCCACAGAGACTTTCCACACTGGCTTTTAATTTTTTTTCAAGAATGTGGCTTCTCAACAGTGTGACATCTCGTGGTAAATTAACATATACTTTCGATCAAAACTCTTCCCACATTGTTTGCAAGAATGTGGCTTCTCACCTGTGTGAGTTGTCATGTGGGTCAATACAGTATACTTACGGGTGAAACTCTTCCCACATCGTGTGCAAGAATATGGTTTCTCACCTGTGTGAGTTTGATTGTGCATAACTAGGTTGGACTTGAAACGAAAACTCATCCCACATTGCTTGCAAGAATATGGTTTCTCACCACTGTGAGTTTTCATGTGAATCCATAAGCCTCTCTTATGCAAGTAACTCTTCCCACATTCTTTGCAAGAATAAAACTTCTTGCATGTATGAGTTCTCATGTGGGTCAATAAGTGAGATATGTGCAAGAAACTCATCCCACATTGCTTGCAAGAATATGGTTTCTCATCACTGTGACTTTTCATGTGAAACAATAAGCTGCTCTTATGCAAGTAACTCTTCCCACATTCTTTGCAAGAATAAGACTTCTCACCAGTGTGAGTTCTCATGTGGATCAATAAATTACTTTTAAAACTAAAATTCTTCCCGCATTCTTTACAAGCATGTGATGTTTTCCCTTCATGACTTCTCATGTGGCACAACAAATGGGAATTGAGTTTGAATGTTTTATCACATAAMTTACATGAATATGATTTTTGCTGTGAGTGAACTTTATTGTGACGGTTCAGTGATGATAAACGAGATAAACCTGTTCTATGACTCTCGTCAGTGTTTGGTTTTCTCTCATCTCTGAGACTGTGTCGTGGTGCTGATGAGGCACAAACTGATTTCTCACCTGTGTGAATTCTGCCACATTTCTTCAAAGAGGATTTTATCCTCAAAGTTTTYCCACAAACTTCTCGTTTGACTAAAACCTTATCTGAGTCAACATCACACAGACTGTCTGACAGATAAGAGCTTTTTACAGTCTTACTTCTGCTTCTGTCAGAACTCTTCTTTGCCTTCAGCACTAAGTTTGGACTTGGTCCTGGTTCTTCCTGCTTGCTTCCTTCATAATCATAGATCTCATCTACAGGGGACATGTTAGAGTGGAGCTGGTCAATGCTTGGTTCTGGTTCACTGTGGTCACGTTCTTCATAAGTTGAAGTCTCAATGAAGGTATCAGTCTTAAGAACCTCCTCCTTGTAGACATGATGTTGTTGCAGTTCTAGAGACAGAGAGAAAATGTGAAGAAAAATTAGTTCAAACACTTAAAAATATAAATGCAACACTTTTGTTTTTGCTCCCATTTTTATGTGCTGAACTTAAAGTGAGAACATGCTAACTCCACCKAAAGAGGCAGCTTCAGACTGAGAGGCGACAGCTCTAACCACTGCACCACTGTGCTGCTCTATTCAGACAGCTTCACTACATCATTAGTTTGTCATTAACACATAAAAACTATTTTTTYAACAAAGCAACTCGACTCTATTCTGTAGTTAAATATGTTTTGCTTCCATCCAGGAAACTTTATCAGCTCAAAACTGGAGAGTGTGGAGTTCCAAGCTTTAAAGTGAATCAGCTTGGATCTCCACACTGCAGTTTGAATTAATAAAGCTCCCCAGATGAGAACCTAAATGTTTTCATTACCACAATAAAAGTCCAGTTTTTGTTTTCTGGATTTGACAAGTCCTGGATGACTGATAAAGTTCTTTCAGTTCCTCCTGCCTCTTCTAACAACTGTGGCTTTAAATGTTTCTGCATTCATGTTGTTTGTCAGTGAAAAACAGTTTAGTGTCATTTTTCTCTTTGANGTGCACAAAAGCACAGCAAACTAGTGGTAAACGACCCCCACTAAGCCCTTTTGCATCTAACCATCTCTTCAAACCATCTATCCAAGATAGGGGGGCACAGCAATGGACTAAACTGTTTTGAGGACCTTTTCATTGGCAATAAATTAGCATAATTTGAACAACTTAACAATAATGTTAGCCTGAATGTGCTGAAACACTTACGATAAGAACTTTATGAATGCCAGTGTAAGAAAGTGTCCATAAATCAGATGTCTGAATAACTGCGCAGAAAACCAAGTTCCTTTCTCAGTTAAAATGGTTTATACTTGAGATCTAAAAACTCCATTCGTGCTCAGAGCTACAAGTCTATGAGTCTAATCATCCCCAAACAAAATATTCAATAGAACACCCTGATCACACTCCTGGGGGCGGTACCTTTTACGTTCAACATTCATGTTTATCCTGCGGAGGAGGGGCGCAGTAGAAACATGCTGATTCTCTTCCTGTTTAAAGTAAAATGACTACAACTGATATAAGACGGAAGCAGTCACAAAATTTCCTTCACCAGCATACCAGTTTAAATAGCCAGTACACGTTCAGAATGTTACATCACGTGCGGCAGTAAAGACGTGTCCCGATTGGTTAGGGACACGTCATACAGTAGTTCCTGCTTAGACCCCCTGATGTTCATGTTCTCTGGGTTCAAAACTTTGAGTTCAACCAAAAACTTAGAGCATTGACCAAAAGTTTGAGATTCAACCAAAGATATCTGACATGCCAAAAAAAGTTTCTACTGGCAAAAGATTTTTTTGATTGACACTGCTTTTTTGTTTAAGTGAATAATCAACCTTCTACGGAGGCACCATTGAGAGCGTGCTCACCAGCTGCATCTCTCTGTGACACAAGAGCAGCAACGCTTCTGATAGGAAGGCCCTGAGGAGAGTGCTGAGGTCAGCTGAGAAAATAATTGGGGTCACGCTGACACCTACTGGGGAACTGGCCAAACAACACCGTCTGACAAGAGCAACCAGAGTCACCAAAGACCCCGCTCACCCCGGGTATGGCATGTTCTCTCTCCTACCCTCTGGCAGAAGATACCGCAGCCTGTCCTGCAGAACAGTGAGGTTCTGTGACAGATTCTTCCCGACCGCCATCAGACTTATGAACACTGCATAATACTCAAGTCTGAAACACAATCTCATCTACCTGGTCAGAACTTTTCAATGCACAGCTGCTGACCAAAACATTTCCTGACTCTTAAAAAACTTCAGAAACAACAATATAACAGTATCTCATCTAACTGGTCATTGTTTTAGCACACATTCTGTAATTTACTGCCCAAATGCAAAGGTATGCACCTTATTATTAGGGGTGCAACAATACATGTACCCGTTTCGAACCGTATCAAACAGTGCTGTATCGAACAAAACAGATTTTAAAAAATTACTTTATCAACTTGTCTTCTAAAAATGCTCTGTGTTAAAGGATCAGTGGATCTGTGTTCGACTACTCCACCTAGGTTGCATTTTTGAGCGCAGATCCACTGAGAAACTTGCTGTTTCAGCAACATTTAAGTAAAAAACTGTACTTTTGAGGTTAAACAAATGTTCATAATTAATATAAATAAATTTCAAGTTAAAAGGGGCATGGAAATTTCTCTGTTTTGTATCGAAAAAATATCGAATTGTGAGACTAAAGTATCGAACCGAACCGTGAATTTCCTGTATCGTTGCACCCCTACTTATACTATATCAGTGGTTCTTAACCTGGGTTCGATCGAACCCTAGGGGCTCGGCGGAGCCTCTGCCACGGAGGTAAAGACACACTTGTGTAAAGTCGTGATGACACACCCCGCTTGGCCATTACTTGCTGCAGAGAGATTGCTTGGCCAATTAGTGC